ATTTTAGGGTTACCTCTTTAGAGAGGAGACTGTTAAGGGAAAGATATTTTCTTCTGGTCAGAAGACTGGAATCTTTAAAAATTTTAAATTTGTACTGAGTTTCATAGTGGCTGGGCTAAGTTACATTTGCACTCAATTATCAGTGTAGAGAACCTACTGATTTTCCATTTGCGTGACCTGTCAAGGATTAAAGTAGATGATTTCTAGCAATGATTTTTCTGTCATTCCATTTTTGCCTTATATTTATTCCATTAGGCATTGTGGGTGCATTCATTTTAGCTTGCTGGCTCTTCTTAGCTGAACCCCTTGTCACACCGTATGGTGATCCTCTTGATCAGCTCTCTACCTTATCTCGCGGTGTTTGCCAGATACACCTTTCCCCGTCCTCTTACTTTGACTTCTTGCAGCTGCTTCTGTTGTAAACGTGTCACCTATAAAACTTGCACATATCTACATGAATTGTATCCGTTTTCATATTTATCTCTGTTGATATTTTAATGCATGTAGGCTTGTACTCTTTGTTATTTCAGTATGTTGCATATTTTCTGGTTTTTTTTTCATCCTTTATTTTTGATTGATACCTGTCTCTAAAAACAGTGTGCTCTCTTACCCCTTGTTTCCTCATCCCCAGCCCTTTTTTGTTACATCAATGCCTAACTCTGACTGACTACATAGTGTTTCTGTTTACCTTTGGGCTTATTGTCCTCTTTCTCCACCTCTCCCCTCCTTGGCTCCCTCCCTCACTATTTACATAAAAGCAAAGTTCCTTGAGGTATTTAGTTACTTGCACTTCCTTTATCACTTAACATCAATGGCCTCTTAATTAACTAGTCTCTGCATGTATGGGTTTCCTTCACCTATTCAGTCACCTGTATATGGAGAAATTTGGGGGGGCGCGGATGCATCCATTCTAAACATACAGATTTATCGTCTCTAAACAATACAGTATAATAAGAATATATATAGCTTATACGTGCTCTGTATGAAAATGAATTTGGAGATGGCTCAAAGCACATGAGGTTGTGCCAGTTTACACCATTAAAATGGTACTTGAGCATCTTTGGATTCTGGCATCCCCAGGAGTCTTGAAACCAGTGTTGTGCAGATACATAGGTGATTACACTTCATACAGAACTATTTGCAGTAGTTTCCCCTGGGTGCCGAAGCTGTATTCTTTAATATTGTAGTAGTGGCTTACATGTGTATGATTCTTGGTTTAAGTTACTTTCTATCAAATTTTTAAAAGACAACTCTTTTGTTTTCAAACATCCTGTTAAAAATGTGATATTGTTTTTATTTCTGTATCCTAATATATCATCTGCTCTTTTTTTCTGGAAGATTTATAAATATCAAAGACAAAGAAAAACTTAAAACATGTTACAACTTTAGGTATAAGTTTTCTTTTTTTCCTTTTAGCACTTTTTGGGCCTTTTAAATTTAAAATGTTTGCCTTTAATTGCTAACACTTGATTTCTTTCTTTCTTTCTTTCTTTCTTTCTTTCTTTCTTTCTTTCTTCCTTTCTTTAAGAGTTTAGTTTTTTAGTTTGTGTTGGCTAAATCACTGTTAACTTGTCTCTCCTATAGCTTAGACATGCTGATATAATTTTTCTAAATAAGAAAACATTGTAACCAATTTCATACAGCAATTTTTTTTGTTTGTTTTGTTTTTCGAGACAGGGTTTCTCTGTATTGTTTTGGAGCTTGTCCTGGAACTCGCTCTGTAGACCAGACTGGCTTTGAACTCACAGAGATCCACCTGCCTCGGCCTCCTGAGGGCTGGTATTAAAAGCCTGTGCCTCCAACGCTCAGCCATATAGCAACTTTTAAAAAGCTTTGTAGCAAGGGAGCTGCTACTCACTTAGCAGATAGAGCTCTATCTTTCTAGGTGTACAGTTTTTTATGTTAAAACGTAATGCTGGCGTGCAATTTTCATGCTGCTTTACTAGTGTCCTCATTTGTACCCTCTGACTTTTCAGATGTGTTTCATACAAGACCACATTTTTATGTATTTCTTGTAGATAGTGGAGTTGGAGCAGGCATTGATTCATATTATGAGTATCTGTTAAAAGCCTATGTCTTGCTTGGAGATGACAGTTTTCTGGAAAGATTTAATACCGTAAGTTGATTTAAGTTTCTATTAAATTTGTAGCTAATTTCATTTGAGTTCAAGATTGACGAAAACTTAACAACTTAAATGAAGTTCTTCAAAGTTTGTCTATAAATGTGTTGTAGTACTTTGTTAGCACTCTCTGATGTTAGACAGGGCAATGTGCAAGTAAAATGCACTCCAAAAAGTTTTCTTTTCTTCTCTTATCAGAAAATGATAAATCTGGCAGCGTTTGATCCAGGTGCACGGACAATTACTGGAGTGAGATACAGTTAGCGCTCACTTCTGGGTTCAGTTCTGTTTGAAAGGTTGCAAGTTTGGCCTAGTCTTTGATCCTACCAGACAAGCAGGGTTTGAGTAGTGTGCTTTCATTTCAAAAGTGGGTGTCTTAAGACTGAACCACAAGAGCCACAGAGAAGCTTTGGGAAAGGAGGTGGTTGGTCTCATCAGAGTTGCTTTTGTAACTGAAGCAAGCTGAGGTAAATGTAGCAAACTGATTATCTGTGTCACTATGAGCATTTCAACACTATTTACCTTTTTGTTTTTGCCCACCCATCAGTTCACCCACGTTAGTATATGATATGCTTTGATATTGTAGTTAAAAGTGGGAGAGAGATCTTGGTTTACATCCTGTCTCAACAACACATTGCTTGCGTGACTTTGCAGTGGGTGAACATCTCTGGTTGCCTTTATTGCTCATCTACAAAATGAGAATACTAGTGCTTTTTCCCCCCAGGTGTTTAGGAGGAGTGATTAGAACATGGCAAAACATATGACACATTGCCACTTGGATGAGCCAGCAAAATAGCTTATTTAAAAAGCCCTATTAAATTGGGGCTGGAGAGCTGTCTTAGTGGTTAAGAGCACGTGCTGCTTTTGCAGAGGACCTGGGTTTAGTTCCCAGCACCCCATAGCAGCTCACAACCCCCTTAACTCCACTTCCAGGTGATCATATGTCTGTGGCCTTTGCAGGCACCATGCACGAATGTGGTACACAATGTGGAATGTTAGGCACTTGCACATACACATAAAATAAAAATAAATAAAATTTAAGTCCTAGTAAGTTTTTTTGTTTTTTTTTCGAGACCGGGTTTCTCTGTGTAGCCTATATTGGCACTCGCTCTATAGACCAGGCTGGCCTCGAACTCACAGAGATCCGCCTGCCTTTGCCTCCCGAGTGCTGGGATTAAAGGTGTGTGCCACCACTGCCCAGCCCCAGTAAGTTTTTGAATACTAAAAAAACTGTCTGCATATATTATTTGCTGATTTTTTTTCCTTTTAGAGATGAATTAGAACAGGTAACTTTTTATTGATTAATTAATGCAACTTGTCCTGTTTCAAAGCCCAAGACATATATTAGAGAAGCAGTTAAAATAAGGGGAAAAGGAGATTCCAAGAACAGAAAAAGCCGAGCTGCATCTGACTGAGACAGTCTACAGCAATATATATAATTTCTTCCCATCTAAATATTCATGTAACCAATTGACATACAGGGAATTTATATATCTCTACCTGTCTATCTCTTTACTGTGCCCTATAGCATTTTTTACATCTACTCTCATGAACATGTTGTTACGGTCTTTCAGCATTACGATGCCATAATGAGGTATATTAGCCAGCCGCCTCTCCTACTTGATGTGCATATCCATAAACCAATGCTGAATGCTCGGACCTGGATGGATTCATTGCTTGCCTTTTTTCCAGGTTTACAGGTAAGGAAACCCATTTGTTAACATTAGGATAAAGTTATTTTAACTAAGTGCATTTGTGATCTCTAAAATCGAATGATAAAGTTATCATTTCAAGGCTGTACTAACCTTATAATGGGATGGTTATAGATGAAAATAGCTCATGCTTTATACTAAGTGATTTTGTTGTTGACTTCTAGGTTTTAAAGGGTGACATTAGACCTGCTATTGAAACTCATGAAATGTTATACCAGGTGATTAAAAAACACAATTTCCTACCAGAGGTAAGCAAGTAATATTTGAAATTCTCCTTAACATGCACACACACACACACACACACACCTATATCTATATATAATTTATAATTTAAAGATGGAAAATGTCATCCTTAAGATGTGGTTACCCTTTAAATTGATTTTTATTTATATATATATTTTTGCCTTTTTTGTGTTTAGAGAGGTCTAATTTTGGATAATGATGATCCTGCTGTAAAGAAAAGTCCAACGTTAGTGTTTCTTAGCCTGTTTTAATACATGCTGTTGTAGTATTCACCGCCACCACCCCTTGTTGTTTGGCTTCTATTAACATATGTGCATTGATGGGGAACAAACCCAGGCCCCTGCACATGCTAGGAAAGTACTCTACCACTGACCATAGATTCCCAGCCCTAATACTGTCTCATTCTGACTTTCAAAAAAAATTTAGCTTTATTGTTATTATGTGGGAGTGTGCATATGTACAGCAGGTGACTATCGGGGATTTTATGTTTATCACAGTGCCCATGTGGAGATCAGAGGACTACATTTGTGTAGTCACTATTTTCCTTTTACTTTTATGTAAATTCCAGGGATTGAACTCAGGTTGTCAGGCTTGCATGGCAAGCCTCCTGACATGCTAAGCCATCTTGCTGGCCCTCAATCTAACACCGATTTGAAACGATATTGATAGCATGCTTTTTGGCTTTCCAGAATACACCTTTACAAATTTTGTAACATGTTCATAGCCTTGTTCTTTCTGTTTTCTGTGAAATACCCAAGCTTTCTATTAACATAGGTATTTCCTAAGGCATTAGCTCTGGAAAGTATAGTTTTATTAACCTTCAAGTGCAAGGCTTTGTATTACAAAAACTCATATTCCTGTTGAATCACATGAGGTTTCAACTAAATACACTGATCACAAATGAAGTTTTCTTTTATTCTTTTTTCTTATTTAAAAAGAAAAGAAAAAGCCTGTTGGGACTGAAGACATGGCTCATTGCTTAAGAGCACTGGCTGCTTTTCCAGAGGACCCAGGTTTCATTCCCAGCACCCACATGCCCATTCACAGCCATCTGTAACTCCAGGGTTAGGTGATTCAACACAGACAAAGCACCCGTCCACATAAAAATTCAGGTGGAGCACTGTTGGCTGTTATGATTGCATTGTAAATAGACCAATTTTAATTTTAAGTAATTCTTTGATTTATTTTACTGATGGTTCTACAATTTTACTGATGGTTCTACAATTTTACTGATGGTTCTACATTATTATAAAAGAAAACAGGCTACAATAAAATATACATCCTTGAAAATACATACAATAGAAAATACATAGTTGAAAATAGAATAGGAAATAGATAGACGAGAGTGAATTTTAAATGTCCTCAAAAAGTGGTGTTAAATAAAACGTATATTCATTGGCTTGATTTAACATTTCACTGTGTGTAGGTACATGAAAACAGTATGCTGTGCATCATAAACACAATTTTGTCAATTAAAGAAATTAAAGGAAATCAGAACACCAAAGAAGTACTAATTCAGACAGAAAAGAAAACAAACAAATGGAAAACTCAGTTATTAGACAATGTAGGATGTATTGGCATTACAAAGCGTCATTAGTGGGTTTTTCTGATTTTCTTGTTGGTCCAGTTGCTTATTTAAAAGGTAATAGGGCTGGGAAGCTGGTTGAGTTGGTAAAGTGCTTGCTATGCAAGGATGAAGACCTGAGTTTAATCCCCTTGGTAGTGCACACCTGTAAACCCAGAGCTGAGGAGGCAGAGACAGGTGAGTCTCTGGGACTCACTGGTCAGCCACCCTAACCTACTTGGCAAGCCCCAGGCCAGCAAGACCCTCTGTCTCAAAAGGCAAGGTGGACAACACCAAGGAACAACGTGCAACAACTCCACACGTACATATGTGAACACACACATACATGAACATGGACACACAATAAATAACTCATAAGCTTGGTTAAAGAGTCTTCTAAAAATGAGTTAGTACTTTAGCAACAATAGTATATATATTAGGGATGAAAATTTACCATGACTTGTATATTAATTATTTTTACCTTTTATGCATGTTGCTTTGTATTCTAGAACTGCTTGCTTCATTTTCAGTCACATTTTTATGCTTGCTTATATGTTCTTCTGTACAGGCATTTACTACAGATTTCAGGGTCCATTGGGCTCAGCATCCTCTAAGGCCAGAGTTTGCAGAAAGTACCTACTTCTTATATAAAGTAAGATAACTTAACATTCCTAGCTTTCCCTACTTTTTGTTGGCTCTCTTGCTTTTATAATAAAAATTAGTATTTAGTGTTATAATGGTTGCATATATCATTTGCATTCACTTAACCTATAGAACTGTAGAAAGATGTAAGACTTGTTGTAAACTTAATGCCTTTTGAAAGGTACTTCTGAAGACATGGATGGAGACTACATCTCCAAACACCAGACATGGGAAATTGAGATCCCAACTATGCTATAATTAAGTCACTTCTGAACACTGTAAACATGTCTGCTGTAAAGAAGAGAGGTGATGAGCAAAAACTTTTTTAACTTCTTTAAAGGGAAATTTTATTTATGGATCTGCATTCTGAAGTGGTCTCCTCCCTTCAATCAGGGAGCTCTTTTTTTTTTTTTTTTTTTTTTTTTTTTTCAAGACAGGGTTTCTAGGTGTAGCCTTGGAGCCTATCCTGGCACTTTCTCTGTAGCCC